GGGGAGGGGGGCACAGGGGACCGATATTGTGAGGGACATTTGGATTCGAATGAAGGGACGAAAGAATGGACGAGAATGTAACCATGTTTTGTAAATGGGATATAAGTGGGGGAAAAAAACAAATAGGGATACATCTTTTATATGTCATATTCATCTATTTCCCCAATGAAAACAAATCTTAATAAGTACTCCATCCTGATTTAAATGGAGAGTTTGAATTTTGAAAGTCAAATAAATATGTAAATTTTATTTCAAATAACTTAAATTTTTTATGTCTAAATATATAGTCAAAATTAAGAAGTTTCCTTACTCACGTGAGGGAGTAGTATTTTATGGGCAACCATATCCATCCATTTAATTTCATCTGCAATTTGAAAGCCGTACTTGGAACCTTTATGTGTATTAAATGTCAACGTACTCCCATTATAGAGAGAGTATTGTAGTGTCGGCAATAACGTGCTCCGGAAACACACACACAGAGAGCACGATTACAGAATAAGGGCATGGATTTTCGTTTTGAGCCATTAGCGACAGTCACAGCCGCCGCCACCACCCTATTCTTGATTTGCACTATCAAATTCCGGTGGTTCCGCCCTGATAATCACCTACCGCCGCCGTTCTCCGTAGAGGCTAACTACGATGGAGGTAGTTCCTGTGCGGTGTGCCTCAACGACGTGAGCGGCGGCGACATGTGCCGGAAACTGCCGAAATGCGACCATGTTTTTCACTTGGAATGCGTCGACGCTTGGCTACAGTCTAATTGGACGTGCCCACTTTGCAGAAGGCAAATTACAGATGATACTCCTAAGCAACAACGTGAAAACACCATCTTCTCTTTACTATTTTCCCGCTGTGAAGATTTTCTGGCCAAGATTAATGCTCATGCCGAACAACTCATGACGGTTTTGTTCGACAGCGGAGTTTTTGTCCATCCTTGAATTTTTATTCGGGTTTTAAAGTTAAAGGTCCTAAAGTTGTCGCCATTGAGGCCAAAAGAAGAAAGAGGAGCTCTAATGGCTTATATTAGCTTAACAATAATTGTAATAAATCATGTAATGGGGTGTGACTCTTTTGTACTACTCCTAAGAAAGTAGTGAAAAGTGATGAAGAAAATAATGTAATTGTAGTCATAATTGGGAAGCATTATCATATTTGATCAGTTTTTTTCTTTCTTTCTTGGATTTGTCTTCTAATTGTCAAGTTCTATTCATATTTTTTTTCACGAATTACTACTTTTCAAAAGCTCAAGTCGCAACTTTCTGCTTGTAGTTATGTTAATTTGAGCTAATCCCAGCAATTAATGATCAACTCAGAGGTTGTTTGAGGACAAGTTGTTGGTATTAGTTATGTTGAGATTAGTTATTCTCGTATTATTTCTTATTGACTGTGTGGTTGTTGACCCTTATAATCGGATAACAATTAAAGTTATAAGTAGTTTTAAGGATATGTGATTTCACTAGCACCAATTGATAAATACAATGATTAATAGCAGAAATAAACAACAAAGTAAACCAAACCAGTATTGAAATGCAATTCAGCCCTCGAGCTGGGTCGCCCTCGAACTGAGTGGGTAAGAGTAGAGTTATGAAACCAACTGATGAACAAGAGAATATAAGAGAAAAGAGTATTGTATTGCTTTTATATGCGTGAATGTAAGATGGTTACAAAATGATAGGACCCTCTTTACATAATAGAGGAATCCTATTTATGGTACAATTCTAATTACGAAAGTAAATCCCAAGATGGGCTAAATAACCACTTTTGATTTGATCCATTCCGAGATTTTCGCCCCGATCCTCGGCCAATCACGGATATCTCGCCCTTTCGTTATTATGTTATCTTCGATTTTGCTCGATGTCTATCCTTCTCGATCTGCACCGGTCTCGACCTCGACAGGTTCTCCGAATCCCAAACTTGGCGCCTTATCCTCGTTTCCCAGTCTGATGTGCTACGGGGCCGGTCCTCGATCCATCCCCGGTCTCGGTCAATTAGCAAAATCATGCGGGCATAGTCCCCTCATTTTTTGGAGTGCAATGACAAGAAATGACTTGAGTTTTTGAACTTTACCCCGATTTATCATGACGTCATCACCGTGACGTAAGTGCCCGAGATGACCGAAACGTCCCATCAATGCAGTTCCCCAGGTCATTAATGTGTGTCAGTTGATGGTCGGCCACTAGTCATTTCGAACCGTCGCCCGTGAAACCCATAAGTATGCCCTTTTTCCACTTTTCAAACATTACTTTGAAGCTCTCTTGTGCTAATCTTCAAAAACCCTTTGCATTCTTCAAGTTCATCTGCAAATCTTCAAGTTTCATTGATAACTTCTTTCTAAAGCACCAAATACTATCACCGTCTTCCTTCTTTAATCTCAACCACATGGCGAAAACATCTAAAAATGTTCCACAGAAGGAAAAAACTTCCTCGTCTAAGCCGGTCGGCGAACAACCAGCGGCGGAGCCGCGCCCTGAAGAATTTTTTCCTCCACCTTGCGTCCTTGACTCCGACTTCAAAGTCAAAAAGACCCCCTCGGTTCCGGGCCGATGTGAGCCAATGTCGAGGTACATGTGCACAATCACCAGTGGCCTTTTAAACCAAGTCAAAAAGGATTGCAACTGGGTAGACAAGCACGTGGTGGTGCCCTTGCCTGAAGAGTCAATCACTACGTATGTGGAGGGGTTTCTGAGTGTTTACACCTACCCTCTCACATTGGGTCCTCTAGATCCAATAATCTTGAACTTCTACAATAAATACGAGGTCACCCTCGGCCAGATTCATCCTTCTTTTTAGAGGATAGTGATATTGCTTCGATTATTTGTGAGCAAAGTCGAGGGGATTGCCTTCACCCTCGACCATCTCATTCGCCTGTATAGCCACCATCTTTATCTAGGAGGGCTAACAAAGCTTCAACGTCGGTCTTCAAAGGCAAATTTCTTGAGCATAGATGAGGACAAGGACCGGGAATGGATGGGCCGGTTTGTCCGAGTAAAGACCTCGGACCTGATCCCGGCTGAAAGCATGTCATTTCCAGAGAAATGGAATATGAAATGTGAGTATAACTCCACCTTTTATCCTCTGTTTATTATCTCCGCTTTTTCATCCTTTCTTACTGGCATTTTATTGGTGCAGCCGTTGCCTGGATGCCGGGTGCGATTCCCCATCAAGAGAACTAGGTCAGGAGCCTGGTGTCGACATCGACACACGCTGAGCGCGCATGGCGCGAATTGTTGAGAGGTCGATGGGAAGCTCGAAACCACGGTAAGTTTTCCTATAATCTGATAACTCCGACTCTTTCGCAGGCCTTTGGAAGGACATGCCAATGAGGGCCCCATCAGGTGATGAAGAAAACCTTCCCCAATCGTTTGCTCAGAAACAGAAGAAATAGCGGAAAAGGAGAGAGGCTTCGAGGTCCACGACGTTGGACGAGCAAAAGCCTAGAAAGAGGCGGACCCGTAGGGGGAATGTCATCGCTTTGACAATGGACTCGGTCCTCTGGCTTCGAGATGATCCCGAAGAGGGTGAACAGGAAGAAGAAAAGGATGATGATTCAGGGCTGATAGCCCGTACACGAGCTAGCACGAGGCTCGGAAAGCTTCGGAACCAGTGGAAATCGATGCTGACCGGTCTAGGCCCGATGAGGTCGAGGAGGAGACTCTGCCCAAGTCCCCGAGCCGAAAGGAATCGAAGGCGTTATGCCTCAGGGAAAAGAGGCCAATAAAGAGTCAATGGATGCCGGCGTAGAGAACGAGCTCGAGACTCCCCAAGATGGCGGCAGTGCTTCAAAAGATCCTCGGGGGGCCAATAGAGAGTGGGGATTCCCCCTTATTTCCTTCAGCCTCCGATTCTTTAATACGTGATGCTCAAGCCGTGGAAACTGATTGTGGGGAAGGATCTCACGGAGAGGAGGATCTCTTCTGTGGTTTATTTGCCGGGATAGAAGACGTCACCGGTTTGGGTGAGCCCGAGGTTCCGAGAGAAAGCTCGGGTGAGGATTCCTCAAGTTCCAAACTGATCGATTAATTCCCGTATCCCAGTGTAGATCCCGGGTGCAAACAAACCATCATGATCGCGGTCCCGGAAGATGCTCGTGTTCTTGGTGCCCCCGTAGGGGTGGCCAGCTACCTCCGGGGTTTGGTCACATAAGAGGATCGAGCACACATGGACGTGGTGGGAGCGCCTTGTCTTTTCAACGAACCCAACAAGCTTTAAACTAGGTAATCTCCGATTCTTCTATCCATTTTTGTACTTAGGTTTTTCTCCCTTAGTATAATTTTTCCCTTCTATGCTTACAGGCTTCGGTGCTTCATCATGAGGCTTTCCTCCGATTCTGAGGAGAACTGAGCTGTTATGAGACTGATATCCAGGGGCTCACCGAGGAGAAGAATGCCTTTAAACTTTTCAGTGAGCAAAAAGAAGAAGAAATCAAGGGCCCCAAAGCTGAACTGGGCGCTGCTAAAAAAGAACAGAGCGAACTGAACGAGCAGGTAATAAAAGTCTTAGAAGCTCATGGCTTCAGTTCGGGAGTGGTGGCTAACAATTCGATCTCACAAGTCCAGCAACTGCACGAGACGATCGAGCAACTCCTTGGAGTGGTAAATGCGGTAAAGGCGGAAACCATAGCGTGGAAGAAAAATATGGACCGCCTTGCCTCAGAGAAAGAGACTGCTCGAGCTCAATTATCCTCGGCTGAGAGCCAGCTCCAAGGCATGAAAGAGAAGCACTTGGCACAAGCCAAGAAAATTGAGGAGCTCCAGGCTCGGTTGGTCACGGAACTTGCAGTGGCAAACTCTAAGGCTGAGATGGCTAAGGCCGATACTGAGGCAATCGTGGCCACCTACCGATTTGACGCTGAATCCGCTCAAGATTGAGTAAAGGAGGTTGTTGATACTTCTCAGACTCGAGCATACTGGGTTGCCGAGCTGGCCAAGTGCCAGTCTCGAAGGGAGACTCTCGAGGAGATTCACGCTCGTGGCTTTGACCTCGCTGCCGAGATCAAAGATGCAAAAGAGCTTGAAGCTGAAGCCAAAGCATTGGTCTCTTCTGATGATGATGATTCTGGGAGCATGAGTGGATCCGAGAGCGGAGAAGACCCCGAGGGTGAAGATGTTTCTCCTGGAGAAGATTCAGTACTTAGGATCTTTTTGGATTTTTTTGCATAGATTTCTGATCGGGCCATGTTGCCCTTGTAAATAACTTTGACATATATAAATATTTCTTGCTTATGAAATTTGTGATTTATTTGTGTTCTATGAAATTAATATTCATAGGTTCGAGATTCAGGTAACTTGGACCGAAACCGAACTAGTTTCGAGTAAGTGCTTGCCCGAATTCGAAATAGGGTAACCCTTAGGTTTTAATTGAGTGAAGATGATCCTTCGAACTTAAAACGAACGATGTCCCTTAGGCTTTCATATTAGGCCGATGTGGCATTGGTAGAAAGATTGGCCTTTTCCCCTTTTCCGCTTAAAAAGTTCATTGTTAATTATACAAAATTTGTTATGCCTTAGCACAAAATAAGGAATTGTTTGAGAGTTCGAACAATTTTGTATTCATTTGGGTTCTCGAGGCTTGATATCATCAAAACCCTTTGTCACTTTGCCGAGGGTAGCCTTTTTAACCGGTTTATAAGAATATTCAAAGGCCTATTTTATTACAGAATTCGAACGTCTCCGAACCATGTCAATTTGGCTGTAGCCTTTAGTTTGGGATTTGCCTCTTGGGCTCGTTTTCGCGTTATACTTCGAGCTTGTCCAAAGTGTCAGTTCCCGAATAGGGTGACCATGGCCTATAAAAATTGAGGGTTGCCTTTTTAAGGTCTTATAATCTTGAGATTTTAATGATCTCGTCTATTTTTCAGACGGCAGTCCCCGAGTGGGGGGTTAATTGTTCGAACTTCGGTTGCGATCGGCCCATAAGCCTGTTTACTTAATAGATCGAGTATGAAATTGTGAAATAGAAAATTTTTCTAAGGCATGAGATATTGGCAAGGAAAAATACTTCTTTCAATAGATGATTATACATGTGTACATGTTTGATGTTAGGGCTCGAGTGACCTATATGGGCACGGTTCATTCGACCGTTTGGCCCTTACACAATTTTCCTATCAAAACCCCGCTATTATGAAGTAATTTCCTTTCAACAAAGTTCACGTTCAAGGGTAATGCCTCCCAGTATTC